ACCTTCTCTAAATCCCACAAAGATAGCCTTCCTCGCTCTCGGATTCAACTTCCCATCACTAACATGGAAATAAGCTGGACACCCAAAAATCCGAAGAGTCTCATAATCACTAGCCACAGAACCAGACCAACACTCCAAAGGAGTCTTTCCCTCTATCGCAGTGCACGGCAACCTGTTAATGAGATGGCTCGCATAAACTAACGCCTCGGCCCAAAAAGATCTAGCCAATCCACTCTGCGTCATCATACATCGCACCTTCTCCAGCAAGGTACGGTTCAGCCTCTCTGCCACCCCATTCTGTTGCGGTGTCTCTCTAACTGTGAAGTGTCTTCTAATGCCGTGATCCCGGCAAAACTGCAGAAATGGATCACTCTTATACTCTCCACCATTGTCTGAACGAAGAGTCTTCACCTTTCTACCTGTCTGCAGCTCCACTTTCTTCTTCCACTCCACAAATATATCCAGGACCTCATGTTTATGCTTCATGGTATATACCCAATTCCTCCTGGAATAATCATCAATGAAAGTGACGAAATAATTTGCCCCACCAAGCGATGTGTGCTTAGAAGGGCCCCAAACATCTGTGTGAATGTAGTCTAATATACCTTGGGTGTTGTGAATTGCGGTGCCAAACTTCACTTTAGTCTTCTTCCCAAGTATGCAATGCTCACACATATCCATCTTGCAGGTCTTTGCACCTTTCAATAGCCCCTGTTTTGCCAATGACTGAAGGGACTTTTCACCTGTGTGTCCAAGCCTCATGTGCCATAGTGTGGTAGTGTCCTCCTCTGTGGTAATAGAAGCTGCCAGACCCCCTGTAACTGTCTTGCCCTTCAAGTAGTATAAGTTGTTTTCCCTGACACCTCGCATCACCACCATAGAACCCTTCATGACCTTCACACTAGCATCTTCTAGGATCACTCTATAACCGGATGCCTCCAAAGTCCCAAGAGAAATGAGGTTCTTCGTCAACTGCGGCACGAACCTCACATCTTTCAATTCCCTAGTCACCCCGTCATGCATTCTGATTCTGACTGAGCCAATCCCACTAATAGGACAAACGTGATCGTTCCCCATGAGCACCACGTCTCCTCTCTTCAACTCCTCAAAGTTGGTAAACCAATCCCTCTTGGGGCAAATGTGAAATGTGGCTCCCGAATCAAGCATCCACTCCGAAGAGTCGGCATAACAAACTGACGGCAGTACGGGACAAGAATAACCGGAAGAATCTGAATCTGAAATGTCGCCAACAACCTTAGCAACATTAACCTCTGAAGCTTGTACAGCTTTCCCCTTTTGCTTCCCGGCTCTATCCTTCAACTTTGGGCACTCATTCTTCCAATGTCCCTCTTCTTTGCAAAAGGCACATTGATTTCTACCAACACTTTTATGGCCACCCCTATTCTTTGATTTTGAGCGGTTGAACTTTTGACGATTTGGACTACGGCCACGAACTGCTAATGCATCACCCGATGCCTTCTCAGAGGGCTCACCATCATTCTTCCTCAGCTCATAGTTCACCAATGCCGAGGTTACCTCCTTGTAGCTAACTGTAGTTCGCCCATTTATCATAGTGAGAACAAAAGTACTAAACTCATCATCCGGCAACGAACACAATAGTAACATCGCCTTATCTTCATCTTCCACCATGATATCAACATTGGCCATATCCGAAATAAGCTTTGTAAAGTTATTGACATGCTCCCGAATGGAAACCCCTCTCTTCATCTTGAATTGGTAGAACCTCTTCTTCAAGTGAAGCCGATTCTCAATGCTCTTTGTCAAATATTTTTCATTGAGCGTTTCCCACAATCTCTTTGCCGACGTCTCATTCATCACATCATAAATGAGATCCGGCGTTAGGCATGATCGAATAACTCCACAAGCCCTACTGTTCATTTTCTTCCAAACCCTATCATCAATCTCCTCGGGTTTCTCTTGAAATTCAAGAGTCTCCTCCAAATTTTGTGCATCTAAGGCGTCCATTACTTGACACCTCCATAAACCGAAGTTGATCTTGCCGTCAAACTTTGGAACATCAATTTTGGTGTTATTGATGCTCAAATTTTGGATCTCCTTTGTCAAAGCCGACCCCGATGTACTAGTAGCACTTGAACTAGCATTACTTGTATCACCCATATTGTAGATCTACTCTCCCAACAAGAACCCAACAATGAATCCTTCGAACAAAACTCCCAAATCCAACCCGGAGCTCTGATACCACTTGTTGTGCGCCGCGGAAGCCCTAAATTGACAAATCGAAGGCACACACAAGACAATAGTAGACCACAAACCAATGCAAGCCAACCAATCACAGCACAAACACAAGATATACGTGGTTCGGCAATATGCCTACGTCCACGGGGCAAGGAGAGGGACGCTTCGTCGGTCGACCGGACCGGTCGACCGCGATCAATTCCGGTCGACCGACCCGGTCGACCGACCACCTCCAGCAGAACCCCGAAAGAATCCAGAGAGCCGTCGGTCGACCGGGCCGGTCGACCGACCTCCTTGTGCACGAATCCGGTCGACCGGACCGGTCGACCGCCACCTGTTTTTCCTGATTCTGCTGCTGATGCTGAAATTCCTTCAGACTATACACGTGGATTATTTTGTTTGTCATCTCAAGTTAAACTATGGTCAATAGGTCAATGACATAATGCTCTTTCTCGTAAGGTGTCATCAGTTTAAAAAAAATTCTTACCGTAGTAAATGTGCCAAGTGTAATCTTATCATGTTAAAGTAAATTCTATTTTCGCTGTCATAATAGCATCATTGATCCAATGTTCTAGTACGCTGCCAGATCAACATGAATCGGATAGATAAATTTCCACCCTCCCGTGCATCTTCAAGTCAGCCACAGACCTGTATATCCCACCAGTCTGCAATGCCCAAAATGATTTGTTTAATGTGTGTTTATTATACTGTATAGAGGAATAGACTTGCTGTTAATATGTCCATTCTAACTCCAAAGTTGTTTACAGCCTTTGACCAAGTATGTTGGCATGTATCTTCTTGTACAGGTCCCTGTATTTTATTAGCTTGCATCAAAAGCCACATTGTGAATGCTTATCAATCATCTTGCACCGGGGCCATCGAATCTTTGTGGTAATCAGAAATAGCAAATATTCTTTCAACCTGAGGGTCCATCAGGGAACACATGATGATCACAGTCTGAATTCAAAATGAAGTGTGCTTTGGTGAGCACTGCTGGGACTCGAACATGCGGCACCTTTAGCTTCAAAAGGTAGAAGGTTAGAAATATGCGTGCTACTTAGTTTGGTATATTTCAGAAGCCTTTATCTATTTTAGCAGTTAGTTTTTCTCCTGCTATCAAAATGGTCTCTTAATCCAAGTATTTAAGTTAATGAAATTTTCAAGAAATATGGTACAGATGGAGTTTTTTTTTTCCTTCCTGTTTTAAATTTTTTAAAGAAAAGGAGCAAGAATCAGGGAATGAGTGTGGCTCTCAGGTTCCCAGAACCATCTTATGAAGTTCGGAACAATTAGTTAATCCAGTTAAGGTAGCATCATACGATTTGGTGATTTCTTTTATGCACTTGTATGAAGATTAGACAGCCCTATGTGCTTTCTACATGAATAAAGAATGCACTGCCTATATGACTCGGGTTTCACCAATTTTCTTGTCATAATATTTCATTATTTTCTTAGCAAATATAAGATATTTTGGTGCGTACTTGTAAGGTTGGACCATTATTGCACGAGCCTTTGCAATCAATGCATTTACCATCACCTAGCTTGCTGTTTATATCGGCTTTCTTGATTTCTTACCATTTATCAAGTTCATAATTCAGAAGAAGAACTACCTTCTGCGAATTTATTTACTGTAGAAAGATAGATAAATTTGAAATATAGTATGAGCATCCCATTCCAATCAAACAAAGGGTCTTCTTTTTTACTCTCTACTTGTTGGGTTGCCATCAGCATCTAAAACAATTATTCAATAAAGAGTAATAGGAGAATAGCATAAGATAATGCATTAAAATCGAAACATTTAATGGGAAACAAATACCATTTTTCGAATTTGCTGAAGAACTGCTATCGTCTGGGAGGAAGTGATCTTTAGGGCTGTGGTTCCATAACAATCTCCACTTAAGATCTTTGCATTCGGTCTACAGATTTGCTTGTTGTATAATTGGTCATTAGTGAATTACAACTTTTGTAGGATGTACAGCATAATTACTGTTTGGCCGAGTGGCCTAAGACACCAGGTTTAGGCTCTGGTCCAAACAGGCACGCGTCCAAATCACACAGCTATCGATTTCTATTTTTCCTTTGTTTTATTTCCAAAATAAACATTATTGCTCTTAATTTTGCTTTTTTCTTTTTCAGATGAATTTTTCTTGGTTGTATGAGAAAAGAGCTGCTATTTTTAAGCTCTCTTGGTTTATTACTGTTAATCATGTTCATCATTTATGAATGCCACCTGATTGTGGTATTCGTAATGCACACAACCTGATTTCAAATTAGTTAAATCACATTGATATCTACGCAGGAAATTTTCTTTTAGTCTCCAGTAATTTTGTTTATAATTTTTTTTTAAAGGTTAACATAGCTCTCACCAGATTTTTGGAAGAAATTGGCGTATGCTAAAACAGAATTCATCGTCTTTCACTGTGACGAGCTCCCCCATCACAAGCAGGTGCTAGTTCCCTATATTTTCCATCTTTTTTTTAACCTCGAATTTGTATTTTTCTCAATATATTGATCCTTTCAGACCATAATCCTGCTGTTTCTGGATATTTACTTATTGACAACCTAGTGCTGTTCTTCTAAGAGCATGGTAATCATAATATTGGAATTTGCTTTAGAAAACGCGTTGGATATCCTTGTTCTAGAAGAGACATATAGATTCCTCATATGTTGCCTCTACCCGGAGTTATCGCCATTTTCCAACTTGTTTGGGATGCTTCTAGTTCCCAATAGATGATCATGTTCCCTGTAGACAGCGATACTATCGTACATTTTGAAAATGGAAGTTCTGTGTGAAACAAGATCAAGTAGGTATAAAACCTAATAGTCCAGCCTACAACACTAACATATACTGTATTGGCCATGAAACCTGGAGCCTGAAAGTTCCATCTCACTTTCAAAAATTTTACTCTAGAAGCAGGGAAAAGGTCGAATAATTCCTCTATGATGAACAGGCATTAGAGAAGCTTACTTTTATGAGATACTTGTGCCATTTTTTTCACAATGGTCATCCACACCAATTAGCGATAACAAAACAGGCAACGAGATCATTGTTTCAATGAGCTAGTAGGTTTCATTGAATTATACATTGCTGTATATATAACATTCTAAATTTAGAAATAGAAAGAAGCTACCTTTTCTTTTCTGAACTAAGGAATAAATAAAGTTACGAAAAAAAACTAATGAGTAATTAAGTAACAGGAAAGATGAATCAGTCTGTATCTTCACACCACATTCAAAGTAAAGCTAAAAACTCCTTTATGACTGCATTAATTCCATTGCTGCCTATTGTGGGTTTAAGCAAACTGCATCGAGAGTTTCCCATTATGTTCATCTGGTTCATGGTCGAAGACGACCCAAGCTCAAAGTGTGGCATGTCGGAGTACTGTGGCTGGAAACTTTCATTGACAAAGTTTTGAGCTGTGAATTGAATCCTAGCATAATTATTCTGCTGCTGGTTATCCATTTTGTCATATTGAATTGAGCATTGCTCAAAATTTTGGGGAGGTAATATAACGTCTGGTCCAATACCATCCTGTTCCAATTGATCGCAAAATGGAGGAAGGTCAGGGATAATGTCTTCGAGAGAACCAAAGATATCATCAGAGGGATCAGAGATTTGGTTTGGGTTCAATGGTGCAGGTTGCGACGGTAAGTTATGGGTCGAGTTTCTTGGTTCAGGTTGGACTTGAGTAGGGTCGAAATTGGGTTTGGGTTTATGTTCATTGCGGGCTATTTTGTTTGGTGGTTGGATTTGTTGCGGTGGCGGGTCATTTGGGTTACCTGCATCAGGCGCAGGCCTCTTGCTCTGGTGACGACTGCGGTACATCTTGCAAAGAACATAGTCATCCAACTGCATTCAACATGTATACAAGCTGAAAGATTAGTGACTTTTACTGATTAGAAGGATATAATTAATGATTTTTCACTAATTATGAATAAAGGCAATGAACAAGATTAGGCAAGAGAACATCACGAAGGCAGCTAGAAGAACCAAGATGAAGAAGGATAAAGTACATGTCTACTCAGTAGCCTGGTAAAATCAAATATAGAGAACTCAATATGTCGACTAGAACTTAAGAAATAATAAACTTAATTTTGAAATAAGACGCACACAATCATGGCATGAAGCAATAAGAAACATAATCTTGACATCTTGTTCATTAAGATACAACTAGCAAACTAATTAAAAATAAAGAACCAGAAGGAGAGGAGAATTAGACAACTATGGAGAAAGAAATTGCATGAAAATGAAGAAGACTACTGAATGAGGGATTTTATCTAGACATGAAAGGCATCTAGAGTGGATGACCAGCATTCACGAAAGTCCTTATTCTATTGGAGTGTTTGCATATATGCCCCTCATATTTTTCATATTTACAAAATTACCTCCCAATTGCATTGAGTTTTTTCTACCCTTTTCACTTACGAATTTTAGTTTTTAAACTGGAAATTGTTGCAAATCTATTGGAAATTATAGGGAATTTTGACATTGTGTTGTTCATAAAGTAACATGCTTAAGTTGGCGCGGTAGAAAAACCCAATATGCTAGTTTCGAGGAGCAATTTTGCAAAACCAAGATTTGAGGGGTAATTTTGCAAATGTTAAAGATTTTAGTGGTATATATGCAAAAAACCTAGTCTATAATAAAGCTATAGGGAGAGGAAACAGAATAAACTCAATACTCAGACTAACCTTCTCTTCTCTAGTGTTACTTTTGTATTGACCATGTTGCACTTTTTACACCTAACTTGTCAGGAGCTGGAGTTGAGGTGGTTAAAGTTGCTCAAACTGTGTGTGAGTTGTTATAAATGTCTAGTTAATTCCGTTACACACAGTTAGTTCTGGTTGCTACATTGTTAGTTCTGGTTGCTACATTGTTAGTTCTGGTGTTACACAGTCAGTTCTGTTTGTGCACGTGCACAGCTTGCACAAGCTATTGTCTCTTGAATTGTTGTATAAATGCGGAGCTTGTAAGAGAAGGAATTCAAAAAATATAACAGAAATCTTCTTCTTCTCAAGTTTACAATCTTCTATTAATTCTCTCTCTCTCTCTCAAATCTCTCTAAATTCTTTGTTTAATTTCTTTCAAGCTTCATTGAGATCACAACTATGGCCAGGGATGGGCTCAGGAAAGTGAACCGAGGCTCTCGAGCCTCACAATTGGTATCAGAGCAACAAGAAACTGAAGCTGGTGCTGAAGATTTCTTGATCGATCAAGAAGAAGCTATTGCTGATGAGGCTATTTCAGATGAGAGGTTTGCTCGATTAGAGGATGCAGTTGTTCAAAACAGTTCATTCAATCGACAACAGGGTTCATTCAATTAGCAAATTTTGACACAAATGGGTGAGCTTTCCTCTAAACTGGAGTTTCTGATTCAGGAGATCAAGAACTTCAAGAATTCTGACCAAGGAATCCTGGGTTCTGGAACAAGGGAAGATCACAGGATCTTGAATTCAGGGTCAAGAGGGAACAGAGAGAAATCAAGATCAGAAGCTGGAGAATCAAACAAGAATGATCACAATAATGATTCCCTCCCTCAAAATTGAAGGAATGCTGACTTCAATGGAGAATCTCAACATGTTAACAGTTTTGGTAATTCCTCAATTCAGAAATTTTTTCTTTAGCAATCAAAAACTTATTCAACCAAAGTCCTTGCGCTTGGATTTCCCCTCTTTCTCTGCTTCTAAGAATGTAATAGCTTTGTTAGAACAAACTGAACAAATCTTTGATTATTATGACATCAAAGATGATGAATGGGTCAAGGTTTGTTCATTCTATTTGAGGGATGAAGCTTTACAATGGTATAGATGGCTCACTAGAAACATTAAAGATTACAATTATTGGCATGTTTTTAGAGAAGAATTAATTACCAAATTTGGTCCTAGTGAGCTCTCAAGGCCGTATGATGCTTTCTCAACTATGAAACAAACTTCTACAATTAGGGAGTATTTGGAAAGATTTGAGCAAGCATTAGGACTTATAGATGACCAACCCTCTAGAAGACATATTCTTGAGAGATTCATTAGGGGACTGAAAGATGAATTGAGGTATGATGTTGTAGCAGCCAGACCAACCTCATTGAGGAGAGCTGTATCTTTAGCAAAACTGTTTGAAGATGTATAAGCAGAAAAATGAAAAGAAATCCAAGGGGAACTGGAATTTTTCTAACTCAGGGGTTTCTCAATGAACCAATCTCACAATCCTCCTGTAAAAGAGAACCTCAGACCGTCTCCCCAATTCAAAAAACTTACACCTAAAGATATACAAAAAAGGAGTCAAAACTTATGTTTTACTTGTGAGAAATGGCACAGGGGACATCAATGTAAGGGAAAACAATTGTTTGTCTTGGAGGGGATCATGGAAGGTGATATGGAGAGAAGTGAAGGTGACTCTGGGGAGGAGGGAGAAGATCCTAGGACAATTGAGCTAGCTGAAAGTTTGGTAAAAGGGGCTTCCTCTATCTCAGTACAAGACCTTAGTGGAATTACTGCTTCCCACACAATTAGGGTGGTAGGTTACTACAAAAATCAAACTGTTAGCATCCTAATAGACTTTGGATCCACACATAATTTTATCAATGCAAAACTAGTTAAGAAACTAGGAATAACAGTGACAGAATGCAACAGTTTTGATGTATTGGTAGCCAGTGGTGAGTTAATAAAAGGGGGAGGAGTGTGCCAATAAGTGCCCTTAGATTGCTAAGGGGTGAACATTCAAATTAATCTATTGGTCATGCACATGGGAGGTAGTCAGGTTGTATTAGGAGCTGACTGGATGAGAACCTTGGAGGATATTACTTTGAATTTCAATAAACTACAGGTGACATTCATGAATGGAGTTAAAAAGACATTGCAGGGAGTACTTCCAGGTGAATTACAGTTGGTTGACAGGAAAAAATTATCAGAACCTTCAGAGAATAGGAGCAAGGAGTCCTAATTCAGCTGTGCAGTGTAGGCCTACAAGAGTGCACAGTAAAGGGTACATCTGAGGAGCTATCTACAGACATGCAATAGTTAATACAAGAGTTTGAGGTTGTGTTTCAAGAACTACCTCATCTTCCTCCTAGCAGAAATATAGACCATAAAATTCCATTAGAAGAGGGAACAAAACCAATATGTATCAGACTCTATAGACATGCATATTTCTTAAAAGATGAAATTGAAAATCAGGTGGAAGAAATGCTTCAAAAGGGGATCATCAGGCCTAACAATAGTCCCTTCTCTTCACTTGTGGTGATTGTAAAAAAATCTGATGGTAGTTGGAGGATGTGTATAGATTACAGGTCCCTCAACCAAGCTACAATCAAAGACAAATTTCTTATTCCTGTCATAGATGAACTGTTGGATGAACTACATAGAACAAAAAAATTTACTAAGCTTGATTTAAAATTTGGTTATCATCAAATCAGGATGCATGAGCCAAATATCCCAAAAACTGCTTTTAGAACACATGGTGGCCATTTTGAGTTTCTGGTAATGCCATTTGGACTTACTAATGCTCCATCTATGTTCCAGGCTCTTATGAATGTTATATTCAAAGATTTGCTTAGGAAGTCCATCTTGGTTTTCTTTGATGATATATTAGTGTATAGTAAAAGGTGACAGGATCACTTACTACATCTAAGACAAGTGTTTCAGATCATGAGAGAGCATCAATTGGTGGCAAAAACGTCAAAGTGCAGTTTTGGAAAAAAACAAGTGAAGTATTTGGGACATATTGTGTCACAAAAGGGGGTTGGGGTTGACCCTAATAAAATCAAAGCTATTATTGAATGGTCGTTGCCAACAACCTTGAAGGGACTGAGGGGTTTCTTGGGCCTAGCAGTGTATTACAGAAAATTTATCTAGGGATTTGGAGCAATAGCACAACCCTTAATATAACTTTTGAAGAAGGGGGCTTTCACCTGGCATACATATGCTAAAGAAGCTTTTGAAGCCTTAAAGATTGCACTAACCAATCCTCCAGTCCTAGCTATGCCATATTTTAACTTGATATTTGTGATAGAATATGATGCTTCTGGATCAGGGATTGGAGCTGTATTTATGCAAGAAGAAAGACATATAGCTTACTTTAGTTTTGCTTTAAAGGGGAGGAATGTCACACTTTCAACCTATAAGAAGGAGCTATTGGCAAGCATTCTGTCAACAAAGAGATGGTAACAATATTTACTGGGGAGAAAATTTATGATTAGAACTGATCATCAAAGTCTCAAATATCTATTGGAGCAAAGGATTCACACAGTTATTCAGAATAAGTGGCTTGCAAAGCTACATGGCTATGACTATAGTGTGGAGTACAAGCCAGGCAGATTAAACAAGGATGCCGATGGATTATCAAGGATTCATGATGGTGAGGAGGAGATTCAAGCATAGGCAACTGGGGTTTTAGCAATCACTACTATTAACAGTGAATAGCTAGAGGAGATCAAGCACATGTGTTCTACAGATGATTTCTTTAAGGACCTTGATGCAAGGTTACAGCAAGGACAATTGGATACTGAGAAATATTACACGAAGGGGGGAATTTACTACTATAAGGGTAAACTTTTGATTAGCCCTAATGGTCAGCACATTAAATCCTCCCTACTAAAGGAGCACCATGATATTCCTACTGCAGGGCACTCTGGAATCACTAGGACCCTGCAGAGGCTGAGGAGGGCTTTTTACTTGAAGGGTATGAAAATAGATGTTCAGGTGTATGTCCAAGCTTGTGACATCTACCAAAGAGCTAAAGGAGAGAATATAGCCTCTCCGGATCTTCTACAACCTCTACCTATTTCATATTATATTTGGGAAGATCTCTCAATGGATTTCATTACTCAATTACCAAAGAGTGGAGATAAAAATGTTATTTTTGTGGTGGTTGACAGGTTATCCAAGTATGCTCATTTTTTTTCACTCTCACATCCATACACTGCTCAATCAGTAGCCCAGGTGTTCTTTGAAGGAGTGTTCAAACTACATGGCATGCTTAAGTCTATAGTGAGTGATAGAGATCCCTTGTTTACAAGCCTCTTTTGGAGAGAGTTGTTTAAATTATAGGGAAGTCAATTAAAATTCAATTCAGCCTATCACCCTCAAACTGATGGACAAACTGAGATCGTTAACAAAAATTTGGAGGGTTATTTGAGATGTTTTTGTTGCCACAAGCCTAAGGAATGGAGTAAATGGTTGCCTCTTGCTGAATTTTTGTATAATACAACCTGAAAAATTTCTACACATACTACTCCTTTTGAGGCAGTCTATGGTAGACCACCTCCTTCTTTGCTCAATTATGTCCCTAAGAGTTGCAAGGTTCAGGCAGTGGATGAGGTTCTTTTTTCTAGAGATATAGCTTTACAATTCATGAGAGATAGTTTGAAGAAGACAGCTGAACAAATAAAGAAATTTGCAGACACACACAGGAGTCATTGGAGCTTTGATGTGGGTGATTTGGTTTTTCTCAAGCTTCAACCTTACAGGCAAGTCAGTGTATCTTCATGCAAGCCTCACAAACTCTCTCTCAAATATTATGGTCCTTACCATATTTTAGAGAGGATAGGTGAGGTAGCCTACAAGTTAGATGTCCCTGAGCAACCTAGGATCCACCCTGTTTTTCACGTCTCTCAGCTTAAACGGAGGGTGGGTTCTGATGTTGTCCTACAGAGTGACTTGCCTAGCTATGTGGCAGAGATAGTTGATGAACCTGAAGCTATTTTCGATAGAAGATCAGTCATAAAAGGAAATCGTTTGGTTTCTGAAGTTCTCATCAAGTGGAAGCAGCGGCCTTCAATAGATTCTACCTGGGAGTCCTATTGGGATTTGGTTAAGAGGTTTCCTACCTTTGACCTTGAGGCAAGGTCAAATTTAAGAGGGGGGAAATTGTCAGGAGCTGGAGTTGTGGTGGCTGAAGTTGCTCAAACTGTGTGTGAGTTGTAATAAATGTCTAGTTAATTCTGTTACACACACAGTTAGTTCTGGATGTTACACAGTTAGTTCTGGTTGCTACACTGTTAGTTCTGGGTGTTACACAGTCAGTTCTGCTTGTCCACGTGCACAGCTTGCACAAGCTATGATCTCTTGAATTGTTGTATAAATGCGGAGCTTGTAAGACAAGGAATTCAAGAAATATAACAGGAATCTTTTTCTTCTCAAGTTTACAATCTTCTCTTAACTCTCTCTCTCTCTCTCTCTCTCTCTCTCTCTCTCTCTCTCTCTATCTTCTCTTAATCCTCTCTCTCTCTCTCTCTCTCTCTCTCTCTCTCTCTCTCTCTCTCTCTCTCTCTCTCTCTCTCTCAAATCTCTCTCAAATCTCTCTCAAATCTCTCTAAATTCTGTCTAATTTCTTTCAAGCTTCATTGAGATCACAACTATGACCAGGGATGGGCTCAGGAAGGTGAACCGAGGCTCGCGAGCCTCACACAACTCCTACAGAATTATAAATTTGCAAACTAATTGCAAATAGACCCCTCTAAATTGCAAATCAAGTGCTTAATGACATTGGACGTATGTGAACAGTACTATCACGGCATCAAGCAATTGGGTAAATAATTGCAAAAAAAACCAAAGTAATATCAAGAGAGATCAAATTCAAGTAAAACAATGCAAGCTCACCAGCATGTTGCCATCCTTGATAGGCTGCTTCGACTCCTCGACCTTGTACTCGATCATTAACCATTTCGTCTTCGTCCCTGGATCAATCTTCCTATTCGCAGTCTCCCAAAATTCCAAACGTTGCCTCTTCCCAATTACAATCTCCTTATTCCCTTTGTTGACCCTGATAAATTTATCTGCATCAGTGGCCTTCCAATACCCTCCAGACGCTGCTCGGTCTGGCCTACTTCCTTTCTCATACTTCCTTCTTCTTGGCGTAAAAAAGTACCAATTTCCCATTATCTCTTTATCTGCATATGTTTCTGAAAAAACACAGCAACATGAAAAAATTTCATCAGCATAAAATACAAACACTACATGTATATCCTGTTTATCATACCCAGAAAAATCCATGGTTGTAAATTAAACTATTAATTTTCCTGAGAGTTTGCATCAGTAAACTCTAGAAAAAAACTTTGAGGGAAGTATAATTTTTGAATTACCAAGTAGCTTCTTGTATCTTACCAAGAAAGGGAAAAAAAAGAAAGATATGCAGAAAATTTTTGAATTTTGAATTTTTGATGAAGGGTACCTGCGAGCTCTACCGGGCTGTGATCATATAAATTGACATTGACGATATTGATGCCTTTGCAAGGGATATCATCGCCGAGAACCTTAGGCTTCAGGTATTTGGTTATGATCACTTCATCTGAAGGAGAAAATTCGATACCGACAGGCAATGTGTTTGTATCCCTGTCATGTTTGTCTCTGCAGATTTCAAAAGGCGACGATTCGTCTTCTTGGTTGGCCATGTTTGCTCCCTGCAGGAAAATTTTTTCTGGCCCCTTGAACGTGTTGGGAATTCTTTTTTTTTTATATAAGAGTTTGATCTCTCTGTGCTTCTCTTCTTAAATAGGAGGTTTTAAATATTACAGGGTTTGATGTAGGATGAATTTGAAAGAGTTGTGGTTTATCTCAATTTTAAGGTATATGAGTAGCTGGACTATGGGTCTAAACTAGTTTTAGTTTATCTTTACCGCTGACATTAGTAATATTTGCAGTATTTTACTTTGGATTCAAATTGGTATTTGCTCTCCAAGCCTAAAGATTCTTTTACTCTGTATGTTGACGAGTAATTTGAAATTTAGTAATATTTGCAGTATTTTACCGTGCCAATTTGGATTCGAGTTGGTACTTGTCCAAGCTTCAAACCACTTTTAGTTTGTATGTTGATGAGTAACCTGAAAATTTTGAGTTTATCTGAACTAGCTTTTGGTTTATCTAAGCTAATATTAAGTAATGTTTTCATATTAATTTTAACAGTTCAATTCAGATTTAAATTGATAGTTATCCAGCCCAGGAATTTTTAACCCTCTAGGACTATGATTCAAATTCATGGTGTTGGTTTATCTTTTCTTTTAAATTTACAAGCAGTTTGAATTATCAGCTCATCTGAATTATTTTTTGATTTATATAACTGATTGTATGTTCGTCTCAACTTTTAAATTTACAAGTAATTTGAATTATGAGTTTATCTGAATTAATTTGGTAAGCATTATCCAACTCGCTGTAGTTTTAAATTTGGACTACTTTAAACGCATTTGGACTAGGAGTCATATATATATTTGTTAATTTGAAAAGAAGTGTGGTTCATCTGCACTTCTAAAGGACCTTTACTGGCTTTTTTGTGCTATATCTTTTTACAGAAAACTCCAACTACCAAAGGGTTAATTTGCATATCAACCCTTTTAAACAGAGAAGAAAGAAGAAAAGATTTTTGGCTTCTCCCTACAAACCCTCTGAGCTGACAAATCATTGTGAGGATCAAACAACAGATGAAGTATGAAACGTCAAAGAGGCTAGATGGGTATAATTCAGTAGTATGTGTTTCAAGAATCAGTGGCACATATTATTCATTCAAACAATGAAATTTCGAATGGAAGTCTTTTGTGAATTGTTGTACATGTAAAATTCCTACTCCAAATTAAATATATAATAACGAATATGGATGAAAATATAGAAAATCACGCATGAAACTATGTTGAAAATATACAGCATTTGTCTTAATCGAGGTACATCCAGATATTTGCAATCTTAATGCTGTGGCGCTCTTTAAATTAAATTTTGATGTGCCTGCAGGCTGGAAAAAAAACTTAGATCGACCAAGTCCTGAGCTGGTGGAAACTGAATCGCGCTTTGGTTTATGTTGCTGCTGCTGAAAGTCCGGCTCGGATTGATCAAATATCACTGAGAGAAGTAGGCTTTTATATCATCAAACAGCCAGAGAATTCGTGCGGGTTCAATGGGTCTGGGTCTTTTCTTTGGCGGCAGGCTATCCGGGTTTGGTTGGGTCAGGTTGATCGGTTCAGTTGGTCTATCTGGGTCGCAACCAGATTAGGTTCAGGGCTCAGGTTTAAGTTCCTCAGATTGGATTCGGTTCAGGTCGGGACGAAATCTGGGTCTTTTCTTTGGTGCTAGGCGATCTGGGTTAACCGGTTCATGTTGGTTTATTTGGATCGCGACGGAACCAGGTCTCTTGGCCCCTGTGTAGTTCTCGATCAGTCTATCTGCATCAGTGGCCTTCCAATACCCTCCAAACGCTGCTCGGCCTGGCCTACTCCCTTTCTCATACTTCCTTTTGCTCGGCGGTAAAAAGCGCTAGTTTTCCTCTTGCTCTTTATCTGCATATGTGATGGAAACACACCAACATGAAAGTTTTTTCGTTAGCATAATAAACATTGAAACACCCTTCATGTTATCCCGTTTTTCGCCAAAAAAACGAAGGGGAAAAAACATGATCGTAAATTAAACTACTAATTTTGTTATGGAGGGTTTTTTTTTATAGCAGATCGAAAAGAAATAGGGAAAAGGAAAGAAGGAAAGAGATGCAGAAAATTTTCGATGAAAGATAACCTGCGAGCTCTAGGACCTTAGTCCTCAGGTATTTTGTATTATCGGTCAATTCGTCTGAAGGAAGAAATTTGAAACTAACAATGTGTTCGGATCGCTATCACTTTCGTCTTTGCAGATTTCAAAAGGTGAAGCTTCCGTCTTCTTGATTCGCCATATTCCTAGCTGCAGGAAAATCGTTGAGAATTTTTTTTTTTTTTTTCAGTTTGAACTCTCAGGGGGCTGTAGATTAATTTGGGGTTTGATGTTTGATGAATTTGATAACAGTTGTGAGTTTATAACCCAACTTATAAGTTTTGTTGAGTATTTGAATTATGAGTTTATCTATGGGAAAATTTGCAAAATAGTCAGTTTTTGCTAATTATTTAGCAAAATAGACCGTTTTGTTAAATAATTAGCAAAATAGACCTCTTTTTGGCCAACAGGCCAAAAAGAGGTTTATTTTGTAAAACAGTTCAGAAAACATACGGGACTAGTAGTCCCGTATGTTTTAATCACGGATTAGTGAACTCAGAAAATTTCACAAAATATTGAAATGAACTCAGAATACATACGGGACTACTAGTCCCGTATGTTTTCTGAGTCACTAATCTGTGATTAAGTTGGCTCTAAACATACGGGACTAGTAGTCCCGTATGTTTTCTGAGTCTTGTTTTTCAAAATCGACGTCTTTTTTTCAAAAGAGGTCTATTTTGCTAATTATTTAGCAAAACGGTCTATTTTACTAAATAATTAACAAAAACGGAGTATTTTGTAAATTTTCCCTTTATCTATACTACTACTAGTGATACTAGTGTTAATTAGCACTATTTTACCACTCCAATTCGGATACAGATTGGTTATCCAAAGCGTCAAAGAGTTTAGCTTTGTTGTTCATGGGTAATTTGAAATTTTGAAATATGACTTTACCTAAACAAACTTTATTTATCTAATCTACACTATAAGTAATATTTTAATATGTTAACAGCTCGAGTAAGATTTAAATTGATGTTTGTTATTCCAAACAAATTTTTTTTTAACCAATTCGAATCCAAATTACTAGCTGTTATCCAAGACCCTAAAAATATTTAGTTTTGTCCTTTGAAAAAAAACAAATATATTTAGTTTTGTTATGTCGTTAACCCTTTATTATAAATATGAAAAAAGTTTATCTGTTACGAGTATATGCAAACTAGTTTTATTTTATCTAAAATACTCATGTTAGTAGTATTTGTAATATGTTGTGCAGTTCTTCTAGAGACCAATAATGCAAAAGATTATCTTATTTACTCCCTTAGCCTCCTTTGAGAATAGATTTAAGGACAAAATTTGAAAACCATCATATTTGAAAAAATAATTGTAAAAATCGACTCATTCACAAACTATTTGTGAAAACCGAAACTAGGTCGGTTTTGAAGAAAAATCTTCAGAAACTTCACGGGACTTCAAGTCCCGTGAAGTTTTTGTATATAACAAGAGACTTGAAGTCCGTGAAGTTTCGCAACATATTTTGTCAAAACAGATAGTTTTGACAATTTTTTTTAGAATAGGTCGGAATTTGCGATTTTTTTTGTAAATAAGATGATTTTCAAAATTTGTCCTAGATTTAACCAAAAAGAACGACGCCAAGCGCATACGAGTGAGATATGAGGTTTACGCGTAAATATTACGCGTGGGAATATACGCGTGAGATATACGCGTGAAAATAAACGCGGAAGAATATACGCGTGGCGTAGATGTAACGCTACTTTCTACTTATAAATACGTATGACTCATGGACTCTCCTAGGCCTGCTTATTTGGGCCTCCATGACGTATGAGCTCTTCTTATTTATTTTTCTTCTTTTGTTGCTACTTGAGATGATCGCGGATTCTTTAACTTCACAAGCCGACCCGGCCCAACAGTAAGCCAGCTAATTCAATTTTGACGAGGAGAATTTTTTTTAAAAAAAGAACATTTTTGAAATTTTATTAACAAAATCGATATTTTGTGGATGCAATTAGGGGATGTTTGACAATCTGAAAGTGAATTTAAAATATGTAAGTTATTTTTTTTTTGCAAATCACTTTTACATCCATGTCAGCACGCAAGTGAAATACAATGTTTGTTTGGAAAAATTAAATTATTATCGAAAGTGTAATGTGAAAATGACGTGGCAAAATAAGATTAATTAGAAAATATAATTAAAATCATTTAATTAAATTAGTTACATTTTTGTCACTTTCGTGTGACTTCACCACTATTTTAGGGGAAGTCAAAATTGTATTAAATCATATGTGGTAACTTTTTTGCATCTCACTTTCATAACCACTTACATTAAAACATACACCTTAATTGTTAAATGAAAATAACTTTCTTACTTTCATCATTCACTTGCATGCAAACAAACACCCCCTTAGCAAAATCAATTTTTTTAGCCAAAAGAAGGAAAAGAGGTTGATTTTGCAAAAAATAAAGTTTTAGAATATAGGAGACTACGGGCTTGTTTGGATTGAGGGGAATAAGGGTGAAGGAAAGTTAGGGGAACCATTCACCTCCATTCACCTTGTTTGAGAACATTTAGAAGGTGAAGTTATTCACCTTTAGTTCCCCTTGATTCACCCCCTAATAGTATAAAATTTGTTACCCCCAAATTGGGGTGTAACTAAGGGGAAGGGAACTCTCTTCCCTTCTCTTCCATTCTCTCACCTAGTTTACCTTAACTTCCCTTCACGTCCTACAAATCCAAACAGGCTCTACTGGTACCGTGTATCTATTAATGCTTAATTTCTCCCTAATAAAATTTAATTAATCTTATATATTTGTTAAAGTTTAATTAGCATTTTATTAGCTAACACTAACTATACGGAACTACTACTTCTTTATATTTTAAGAATTATATATTTTACAAAATCGATAAAAGAGGTCTATATTTTGCTAATAAAATATTAAAAACCGCCTTCTTCTTTTCTTTTTATTTTTTCTTTTTATATTTCCTTTTACGATCTTAGAGGACGACGGGAAAGAGCGACGTCGACGAATTCGACGAAGGAGGAAGATCTCAAGAAGCAATCTTTCAAGAAAAAAAAGCCCCAGGTTTCAGCTTCAGCGAAGAAAATTCTCAAGTAAGTGTATTCCTCATCATTTTATTAGGGTTTTTTTGAGTGCTATTTCTAAGAAAAGTCATAGTAGGGTTTGATGTGGGCGGGGATTTTGTTGGTGGATTACACAAGAGAGAAAGGGCGAGCTCTTTTATTTATTGTGTATAAAAACTGTAGCTGTTGGTTTCTTCACTCTAAATTAGGGTTATTATATTCTGTCTTCATTCTTGCATTCAATGTAGCGTAAGAGTTCAAGAGAGTCACTGGGTGGATTTTCATTGGACTTTCATTGGATTTCTTGTTTCAACTTTTTATTTTGCAAATACACCCACCATGGGTTTAACCGCTCGTTCAATGGGTTAATCTTATGCTTCTTGATTCCTAAATACTTTTTCTTTTAGGGGCTGTTTGGTTCCAAAGACCCCAGATAGGACTTTTTGTTTCTCATCGTTTCTTTGTTTGTGTTTGGTTCACGGAGCGAGCTAGGGTTTGAAGTCGCTGAAAAGAGCTCCACCTAAGCCAATTTTCTTCCCTTGATTTCCTTCCAAATCGAGCGGAAATGGATGTAAACCCCATCTCTTGTGTCCTTTTGTCATGTCTACAAAAATTTGGCGTAAATCGGGCTATGGTTACCACCATTTCCCGCTATTTCTCTCTTCGCGCCTCGGTTTTTTTATGCTTGTGATTCCCCCCTTTAGCCTACTTTAGATTTCAGTAGGGTTGCTGATTTCTTTTGATTTTTGTTGGATCTCGAAAAAAGGCAACGGCTTTCTTAGGGAATCGCTGTGATTGTTGCTTGATTTGTGCAAATTTGGCAATTTCAGGTATTATTTGTGCAAATATTGATTTTTTATAGCAATATGTCTTTGATCTTGCGGTTTTCCCCCTTCTAAATGCATTGGGAATAATTGTTCTTTGAGAGTAAAGCTCTTTGCTACATTTATGAGTTATGTAACAAAATGTTTGGGTAAGGGTTGCCATCACCCAAGTTATCAACTTATCATGTCCCATTTTCATTGCTCAATTTGTGCTATCCCATGAATTGAGAGCCTTTTGCCATCACCAACCTTCTTGTTACATCTCACCTTAATCATTTCATTTTACAAGATATTAGCAGACATTTGTTTGTTTTACTCCCGATAGAACTTTGTAATAACCAATAACAAAGTCTTTATCCTAATTGCTTGGTCTTGATAGTATTAATTTGATTCTTCTCACTGTTTTAAAAAGCCTCTACCAAGTCCGCCTAGCCATACGCCTAGGCCTAGGTGGTATCTAGGCCGCCTAACTAGCGTCTAGCGTCTGGGTGGTACCTAGGCTGTCCACCTAGAGTTTTGGAGTGATTAAGGGAGCATTATTTGCTTATGTGGACTGCACCCTTTAGGCATTGATCGTGATTTTCTGTGTTGCAGCATCCACGTCCTCCGAGATCCTTCAAACTCCTTTAACCTTTAAATATGAACACATCAACTAGCTCCTCCGGCCTTCAGCAAAACCTCCTCGACCACCACTTAAATAAAGAAAGAAATCCTCCTAAACAGCAGTCCGACACCTAAGCTTTCTGTAACATTAACATTCAGTGTCAATTGTTGTAATTAAAAAATAAAAAATAAAACCTCTTAGGCTCTAGGCATCGGGTCCAACGCCTAGGCTTTCTAGCGCTTTCTATAACCTTGTTTGTTATTATTTTAGCTATGTAGTATTTAAGTATGCATGGTTTATTGTGAATCTAAGATTGCTATCTAATTTTTTACAAATCTACATGAATTTAATTCATATTTTTATCAATTATTATAATTAAATAATTTAAAAAAATAGCCAAACGTCTGGGCGTTGCCTAAGCGTCTAGGCGCTAGGCGCTGGCTCAAACACCTAGTCTACCTAGCGCCTTCTGTAACATTGATTCTTCCATTAATTTCTTATTGATGATTGTATTATTATGTGTTAATATATAATTAAGTCTTTATATTTTCAGTTCTTCTAGATTACTCCATAATTTTATTATGTGATTTTTTTTTGCTCTTGGGTAACAGTAGACTAGCAAAGTCTTTATCACAATTCCAGTGTATTCTACTAAGAAGCTTTAGCATTTTACCAAGTGTTTTGGATTTATTTGGGAATTTCATTTAGGGATGCTTGGTCAGCTTCACATCAATATCTAACTATTTTTCAATAACACATAGGTATCCAATTATTATATATCATCAATCAATCATATCCAACTATTAGATATCATCAATTAATCAATCACTAGATGTTATAATCTTCCAAGTTTCCCTCTCTACTCGTATAAGAAATGTTACAATAGCTCTTGGTAGAATTGATGCAACCCTTAGCATTTGTTTTGAAAAGAATATTAGGAAATTCCTTAGTCCATGTTGATAACATGTCTTGCATATTATGTTTATTTTGATTTGATTTATCGTATATCTTTGAGTTATTATTTGGTGTTAAATCCCTCTTACCATCATATTATTGAGTTCACTGTAAAGTGTAAACTATTCTTAAGTTTTATGTGTCTGTTTATATCTATTTGTCGTGTCATTTTGATAGGTGATTTGATTATTGACATTGTATACGGTTGATTGGTTATTCACACTTTACTTCATTACCATTACTTTCATGGATGCTTGCTAGCCATATTAATTATTTCAATTTGATGTTTGTATCGTAGATGGATGGTGATGGGGAATTTATGGATGAAGAAAGTATTGTTAACATTTGCCAAGGGGCTGCACTATCTGTTTTTGTTATAGTATTTACATTCATGAGGAGAATGCAATCTAGGCATGGATCAATACATAGTGGACCAAGTGAGGAAAAAAGAAAACAAAAGAGAAGTAGAATTGAACACATTGAGTGTTTGGATAGGTGGATTGAGGTAAATAAGCCCTTGTTGCATTTTCATTGTCTAATTTTCTCACTCTCTCATTTTCATTTAATTAATACACACATACTTTTTCAGGACAAGAGAATCACTTATGCTAAGCTTAGGGAGTACGCCAATAAATCCTTGGTGCATTATGATGATCTTGCACTCATCATCGGGGAGGATCAAGCTAGAGGGGGCTTTGCTAACAATATTTGGAAAAAGTTTAGTCATAGCGAGCCCATTAATCTTGGAGATGATCTTGACTCACCTTTGCCTACCGATCAATCCCCTCAAGTGCACACTTTAGATGATGAGGACACTCCTCGACCTAAGGAAGCACCCACCTCATCAACTTCTAAGGCAAAGTCATGTGCTAGCAAGGGAAAGGTTCGTAGGACCAACCTAGATAATGAGCTCATGCAACAAATGGTGGATAAGATGAAAATATTTAGCGCATCAATGAAGTTTGTAAATATGCATTGGACCGAAAAGTTATCCAATGTCGTATATGCTCATTTACAAGACTTTAGTGTTGATAAGCTAGATGCATTCTACCGTCGTCTCTTTGTGAATGAGAATGAATCAAGACTTTTTATGGGTATATCTCCAGTTGGTCAAAAGGAGATGATTAATTCATTCCTGTTCAGCAAGGACCGAAGAACGATATGAATATGGATTCGTGTGGTATTTTGTGATTCTCACTTCTCACATGCTTGTTAAATCCACTTGTTTTCGGTGAAAGACTAGACTTACTTAATTTAGGGGGAAAATATTTGATTTTGAACAATATGTCGACGCTATATTTTGGGTTTATGGAACATTATGGTGATGGAACATATTCTTGTAATAGGTAGTAATTATTTATATGTCTTTCATTTTAGTTGTGCTTTTACTTTGAGCTTATGGTTTCATGTGAATATTTACCAACTTTATGTGTATATTTAGAATACTAATTTTACATTGAACTTGTGTTTGCAAGAACCTTATAAGTCACTATATACATGACAACTGAATAAATATTGTATGTGAGCAACCTACATTGTATCTGCATTGGATGGCTATTACTGTGGGTTATAAAGGTATTTGGTTGTCATTTCATGAGTTTTAATTAGTGACTTATTTACATTTAGGCTATAATGATCGTCAAAATTTTTGAGATTAGTAACATAATGTTTATTGACATTGCACTGGATGACTAACAATGATGATATTGACTAAATTCTGAGCCCTTAGCCATAAGTTCCATATACATATGGCTAGTCTATTTTGTGTGATATCAAAGAATGTTTTCAAATGATTTTTTAGTCATAAAGTTCATTCAAATTTCAACATGCATAAAATAGCAAAGCAGTACACGGTAATAGCAAAGTAGTACATGCCATTGCTTTTGTTTTAATGATTGTAAATAGATTTATAGTTCACGATGCTCCCCAATACAATCCTTACTCAGATTGGCCACAGTTTCATTGTAACTATCTTCATGCGCATGTGTTAGGAGATCATTTTTTTCCGGTTCATGTTGGGCATAACTTTGCAATAAGGACACCATCAATTTTCGTTTCGGCCTCTAACTTTTATAGCATTAGCTCTAGCATAATTTCTGCTAATTCCATGATATCCCATATCTCATTTTACTCTCTATCTTCATCTGTGTAGGCAATCCATTCTTCAAAGGTGGTTGGATGTTTAGGTTTAGTAATCCTTCCACGCTGAGATAAAAAAATAGAGTAAATTGACATTAAAATAAATAGCTCCATTTTTTATCATAAATGTTTCAAATATTCCTGCATTTGATGATGGTGCGGATGAAGATTCACCAATATCTCTACTTTTCTTACTCATCTTTTTTCCGGTTAGCATTTGATATACAAACATTGCGTTTTATAGATGTATATTTATTTGGACTGGTACATTTAGTTGATGGTTGGATGTTGAATCTGGCAATATTTATTTGGATCATTAAATTTTCTGCTAGTTTTGCTCGTGGTTTTGAAATGCTCATGGTTTTGAAACCTAACTGATTTTGTTTCTTATATTTGACTCAACTACTCAGTCTCAATTATTTACATGTTTGGTATTTCTAGGTTTGGTGTAATTTTCCATGTCATATATGTATTTATGAGTAATATGGTTATTTATTTACAAGTTTCGTGAGAATTTTTCGCTAATTCAGGTACGTAGTTCATAACAATTATGAATAATTATGTTATTACAGGTTTTGTGTGATTGTCCATATCAATCGTAGTTCATAACAATTATGAATAATTATGTTATTATAAGTTTTGTGTGATTGTCCATATCAAACAGGTATTTTCATACAAGTTATGCACAATCTGGTTATTTACATTTTTGGATTCTTGAATTTTCATGTTATACGTGTTGTTATGTTGAATCATGTTTTTTTAGGTTTCATGAGAATTTTCTGCTAATTCATGTATGTAGTTCATAACAGTTATGATCAATTATGTTGTTACAGGTTTCATATGATTTTTAATGTCAAATGGGTACTTATGATGAATTCGGTTATTTACTGGTTTAATATGTTATTTTCACACTTTTCTTTTGGTAAGATTACCACCCATAACGGTCACAAATAAATTTGTCTTTAGTGAGAGGTAAACTTACCATGGTGAGTATATACATTTTTCCCTATAAACTTTAATACCAACCAAACACAAGAAAAGTGAAAAATATCTAATCAACAATAGTTTTCCCCTTTCTTAGATACCAACCAACCAAAGGAAAAATGTATAAATTGGTTTCTCACTATGTTTTATGTGTGAACCGAACAACAACAATTTATTTCTTAGAAAACTTTGGAAAACTCAAAACTTAGGTTTTTTACATGAAATGATGTTTCCCAATAAAATGGGAAACAATCCAAACAGCCCCTACACAATGAATCTTCATCATGTATCACTCTTAAAGTATAAGGGTTGCTCACTTTTTCACTGCTCATATCGCCATGGTGTTGCTCTTGTATTTTGGAGAATTAATTTACTTCATCACACGACCATCCTCAAAGTGTAGTAGCTGCTTGTGTAGATTGAGGACAGTTGAACTCGAGGATGCATGTTAAAAGAGATCAAAATGAAGTGAGTGGAGGCCTGGGTCAACATCATAAGAAGCAGGCCATTTACACTATGGAATTTACTTAATGAGGTTGTACTAAATAAGTCCACATGCTTCTGACACCTTTTTATCTTTAGATTCATGATTGCAGGTTTGAGCCTTTGATGTGCTTACAAAGGGGTTCTCCTATGTACAGTTCCCACAAAGGTTAGACGATATTTTTCCATGATCTTGTCAATCATAATGTTGTCTTTTTTTATGTAAGCTAATAGCTCAAGAACTCGTTAACTAAACATTATAAAACCTTGACTTCGAGACTCTTCACTAATAAGTGACAAATTCGATAGGTTTCACGAGGGACGGGGAACCATTTGGGTAACTGGTCAAAGATCAAGGAGCAGCAAACCAGATCTCGCAGATAACTGAGGTGAGCCAAAGGGGATAGGCATCTCTGGCTGGAGCCATGATATGAAAAGAAAGAAGAAGAAGACAAGAATGACAAGCCGTAGGACTGAAAATGCGATGTAGATTGATCTTGTTTGAGGGGATCGGCACTTTTCGCCATAGGAACTGGCATACCTCGGCCATGCTGGGAAAACATTTGAAAGGTAAAAGTTAAAAATATATTGGGAATACCTTATACAGTTTATACATGATTTGGCTATACATGTGGATTACTTTTCTTGCCATCCTGAGCTATATAATAGTGAATCGTTTTGCTCCCAGCATACTTGTGTGTACATACTTGAGATAACTCTGACTTATGCTTAAAAGTTTGTATAAAATTAATAGTTACCATTTCAAACTTCTCTAGTTAACTAGTAACAGTTGCATTTATTAAGTGTGCATGTTATCTTTACCTCGTGGTTTTCAACCCTTTCAGATACAGATTAGCTTGTTTCAGCTTGAGATAGCTCAGTGTGAAATTGAAGCGTAGGTTTGTAGTGCTACATCTTGGAGTGCTGTTTTTATAGCATGCTAATAGCCTAAGAGAGAAACAAGTATATAGTTGAACTAATGCATTATGCTTTTTGTTAAATTAAGTATTGGGTATTAGGTTAATGGGCTATTACCTGTTAACCTTAACCCTATTTGTATGGCTATATATATATATATATATATATCTCTTTTATTATCTCAATAAACAATAAGTTAGGGTTTTGTTTTCTATATTCTCTTTCTACATGGTATCAGAGCATGAAACCCTAGCCGTCACAAATCCTCATTCAAAAATCCTAGCCGCCGCCTCCTCTTCTCCTTGTCGCCGCAGCTATAGCACTGCTGCTACAGTGTCGCTACATCGTCGCTACAGTGCCAGTACAGTGCCATTGCTACAGTGCCCCATTATAGCGTGTTGTCTATTCCCTTGACATCTCAGTCTTTGAACTGATGAGAGGACGATTGTATCCCTCGACATTTCAGTCATATAACTGATGAGCGAAAGAGTCTATCTCACGTTGTTGAGATATTTCACTTTTATTTTTGTTTCATTCGAGAAACAAGAATATAGAAATTGAGCCTTTGTGCAAACAAAAGGCAGGGCTCTCTCCCTCAGGTGATCTCGCTTACGTGGCGTGAGAGCATGACTATCTACCTCTAATCCTGCTCCTGATCTGCTCTTAGTTTATGTTTCAAGAACGGATCTCTACAGCATGACTATCTACCTCTAATCCTGCTCCTGATCTGCTCTTAGTTTATGTTTCAAGAACGGATCTCTACTACTAATCTGCCTATTTGACTACTACTCCTGATCTGCTCTTAGTTTATGTTTCAAGAACGGATCTCTACTACTAATCTGCCTATTTGACTACTATATGTCTCCTATTGTTGCTCAAAAAAAAAATTGACTATTACTTCGATGTCGGACATCTCCTCCTCTACTACTACTTCTGTTGTTGCTGGTGAGACCTCTGCGCCCAAGGTAGTCTTGGGGACTACTATTAAATTGAATGGTGCAAACTATCTGCTCTGGGCACAAGTTTTCAGCATCTTTATTGGCGCTCAGAGCAAACTATCACATCTTCTGGCATCTCCACCACCAACCTCAGATCCTACCTACAATTCATGGCTCTCATCTGATTATTGTGTTATGACTTGGTTTCTTAACAGTATGGAAGCACAAATCAGTAGCAGTGTTATGTTTTTAACCACTGTGAAGGAGATGTGGGACAGCCTAAAGATTATGTACGGGAACGAGAAGAATGTTTCCCGTGTATTTGAAATTTATGAGCGTCTGTTTGCGCTCAAACAGGGAGATAAGTCAGTTCCGGAATTCTTTGGTGAATTAAAGGGACTGATAGACGAACTAGAGATGCATCAGCCTGTAGTAGCTGATGCAGTGACGTTATTGGGGTATCGTTGAGATCTGGCAGTGTCCAAATTTCTTTCTGAATTGCATCCTACTTTACAGTTCCAGGTGAGAGGACAGATATTGGGTGGCGATATCATTCCCTCACTGACTGCTACATTCTTCAGAGTCATGCAGGTCTCTACTAGTGTTGTTTCTGATACTACTGCATCATCTTCACCTACAATGGATCGGTCTGTCATATTCTCTGGTTAGGGCAGAGGTCGCGATCATGGTCGTGGTCGTGGTCGTGATTCAGGAGGAGGACGTGGCTCCTTTGGTGGGAGGTCAGGTGAATCTGATAAGGGCTCACGTCAGTGTGATCACTGTGAAAGAACCAATCATATTTCTGAGAAGTGCTGGGAGAAGTTTGGTCGTCCTCAGCCCAGGTAGCTGATACCGAATTGACTCGCTCATCTATTACTGCTACTACTTCTGGTGGTCTAGCTGTTACTGCTCCTATTGTTCAGATTTCTCAGGCAGATTATGAGAGGTTACGCCAGCTAGAACTCTCTAGCTGTTACTGCTCCTATTGTTCAGATTTCTCAGGCAGATTATGAGAGGTTACGCCAGCTAGAACTCTCTCAGAACATTCATTCTGCAGATTATGAGAGGTTACGCCAGCTAGAACTCTCTCAGAACATTCATTCTGCTACTCATGCATCCTCTTCAAGTATGGATGCTTACATAGCTTCTTCTTACAAACCTTGGGTACTAGATTCTGGAGCCTCATCTCATATGACAGGTATAAAGGATCATTTTGTATCTTTATATTTTTCTGATAAGTTTCCTTCTATCTGCATTGCTGATGGTACTCTTTCTCCAGTTCGTGATGATGGAGTAGTTCATACTACTTCCTCTTTAAAACTAACTGATATGTTATATGTTCCTAAATTCCCTGTTAGCCTATTATCCATTAGTAAGTTTACAAAACAAAATAACTGTAAAGTCACCTTCTTTCCATCTTATTGTGTTTTTCAGGACCTAGCAACTGGGATGAAGATTGGTTCGGGGCATGAGAGAGGAGGTATGTACTATTTGGACGACAGTGTGCCAGAGGCTGGTCTTGTTGCATCACAGTCTGACTCTATTTTATTGTATCACTGACGTCTGGGTCATCCTTCACTACAAAAACTTAGATCAGTAGTTTCTGTTCAGCCATCTATTTCCTCTTTAGGTTGTGAGTCTTGTAAACTGGGTAAGCATCATCGTGCTACTTTTCAGAGTCGAGTCGATAAACGTAGTAGCTTTGCTTTTGAGTTGGTTCATTCTGATGTCTGGGATCCTTATCGTGTTCCCTCTGTGAAAGGTTTTCGATATTTTATTATATTTGTTGATGATTACTCTCGCATGACGTAGCTTTATCTGTTAAAAGAGAGGTCAGAGGTCTCGCACGTTATTGAACTCTTTTATAATGAAATAAAAACTCAATTCTCTTCTTCTGTTCGTATTCTTCGTACTGAGAATGCTTTGGACTATATGAAAGGTGATGTTTCAAAATTTTATGCTCTTAAAAGCATTATTCATCAGACTTTTTGCTCTCACACTTCACAACAAAATGGAGTTGCTGAGATGAAGCATAGACATATTCTAGATGTTACTAGAATACTGATGATACATATGAATATTTCAAAGTATTTGTGGTCTGATGTTGTTCTCACTGCAAATTGCTAGAATACTGATGATACATATGAATATTTCAAAGTATTTGTGGTCTGATGTTGTTCTCACTGCAAATTATTTGATTAATCGCATGCCTTCCTCTGTCCATGTTGTTCTCACTGCAAATTATTTGATTAATCGCATGCCTTCCTCTGTCCTTGATGGTTTAATACCATTTAATTATCTTTATCCTGATAAAAAACAATTCCCTATGATTCCCCGTGTCTTTGGTTCTACGTGTTTTGTTCAGAATTTAATTGTTGGTTTGGATAAGTTGTCTTCTAGATCCATCAAATGTGTTTTTGTTAGATACTCTCGTACTTAAAAAGGGTATATGTGTTATCATCCATCCATCAAAAAATATTTTGTGTCTGCTAATGTCACATTTTTTGAGTCTGTCCCCTATTTTTCGTCTGTTTCCACTAGTATTGGGTGTCCAGAGATACCACTATCTTCCTCTGCTCCTACTACTATTCCATTACCTGCTCCTGTAGCTCATGCATCGAAGCCTCTACTGACATACTCTCGTCGTCCGAAAGTACATGCCCCTGAATTTGCTCCTACTGAATCTTCATCTCCAGCTGCCGGTCCATCTCATATTGAGGCCTCTATTCCTTCTGACTTGGATATCCCTATTGCTCTTCGAAAAGGTAAATGGTCTTGCCCAAAATATCCTCTCTCTCTCTCTCTTTTTGTCTCTTATGACCGTCTCAACCCATCTTTTCGTCAGTTTGTTTTGTCCTTGTCCACTGTATCTATACTCAGGTCACATGAGGAAGCTATGTTAGGCTTAGCACCAGCTTAGAAGCAGGCTATGGATGAAGAAATAAATGCACTACTTTCTAGAGGAAATTGGGACTTGGTTTCTCTTCCTACTGAAGCGACTGTGGTTGATTGCAGATGAGTGTATACCCTGAAATATCATCCCGATGGGTCTGTTGACCGTTACAAAGCTAGCCTGGTTGTTAAAGGTTATACCCAGACATATGGCGTCGACTATTTTAAAACCTTTTCTCCCGTTGCTCGTCTCAACTCCATCAAAATTCTTTTCTCTCTGGCTGTTAATATGGATTGGACGATGCACCAACTAGATGTGAAGAATACTTTCCTTTATGGTGATTTGAACGAGGAGGTTTATATGGAGCAACCTCCTGGGTATATTGCTCAGGGGGAGGATATTATCCACAGGCTGAGAAAGACCATCTATGGGTTAAAGCATAGTCCTCGAGTTTGGTTTGATAAGTTCAGCAAGGTTATTTCTAATGTTGGTTTTCAACGATGTCAGTCTGATCATTCTGTCTTTTTTCGACGCACAACAACTGGTTTGGTTATTTTAGCCGTATATGTTGATGATATTCTGCTGACTGGGAGTGACTCTGTTACCTTAGCTGAGACTAAGAAGTGTCTAAACCGTCATTTTGTCACTAAGGACATGGGAAAGCAAAAGTATTTTCTTGGAATTGAAGTTACATATCAAAAGTATAGCCTGTTGTTGTCCCAAAGGAAGTATGTGCTAGATTTACTAGAAGAAGCAGGTCTCTAGGAATGCAAACCTGCAAGCACTCCAATGGAGGCAAATGTTGATTTGTGACGAGATGATACATTTCTACTAGATGATGCTGGACAATATAGGAGACTAATTGGGAAGTTAATATATTTGACAATTATCAGACCTGATATTACTTTTGTAGTAGGTGTACTGAGCAGGTTTATGCACAAACCTAGAGAGGTTCATTGGACAGCAGTTCTGAAAATTTTGGCATATGTCAAGAATTGTCCTGGCAAAGGATTGCTATATAAGAAGCATGAGCATACTCACATTTTGGCTTTCTCTGATGCTGGCTACACAGGAGACATGGGAGACCGAAAGTCTACCTCAGAATGTTGTACTTTTGTTGGAGGTAATCTTGTGACTTGGAGAAGCAAAAAACAAGATGTAGTATCACGATCTAGTGCAGAGGCCGAATATAGAGCAATGGCTCACACTGCTTGTGAGATGGTGTGGTTACGAAAGTTTATGTCAGAGCTTGGTTTTGTTCAGCATGGACCCATGCCAATGCATTGTGACAACCAGTCTGTCATTTATATTGCACAAAATCCTGTGTTTCATGAGAGGACAAAACATATTGAAGTTGACTGTAATTTTGTTAGAGATACTTGGGAGAAGAAGATAGTATCTCTCATATTCACTCCGTCCTCACAGCAACTTGCTGATATTCTTACCAAGGCTATTTCTTCAAAAGTGTTCTCTACTATATATGACAAGCTGGGCATGATAAATATCTATGCACCAGTTTGAGGGGAGTGTTAAATTAAGTATTGGGTATTGGGTTAATGGGCTATTACCCGTTAACCTTCACCCTATTTGTATGGCTATATATATCTCTCTTATTATCTCAATAAACAATAAGTTAGGGTTTTGTTCTCTCTATTATCTCTTTCTACACTTTTTGATAATACTCAGGTTGTCTAGTAACATTGCTCTCAGACTTCATATTTCAAGGTTTCTTAGCAAATATGTCTTTGTATATCTGTGATCTTGTTATGTGAATGAACTTCAGTCCGAATGAAGTGCTCAGACTGGGCATGTTGTACATGTATCATCACTGTCATGCATCTAACTTATTCCGCTTCCAATTTTGGATGACTGCAAAGAAGCTTCATCCAAAGAAGCTTATGTCTCAGTTGTAGAATTTGCACCATAGGATTAGATATTTCGATAGAAGTAATGTAATTAGTCTCAGATTTATATTATAAATATGATCAACGTCTATACTGTAGGAAGTAATGGTTAGTGATAAACTTATAACAATGTGATCCCTTCAAGTCAAATGTCAACCGGACAAGCAGTTGCCCTTGAGCTGCTTTGGCTAGATCCTGGACAAATTTAGATGGGGAATATGTTAATGTGCTAAATACAATTGTTTCAAAGAAACACAACTGGATTATCTGAATCTAGCCAGTGCCTCATGACATTGATCAACCCAAGTTAAAACTGGCATTGGTGAATTTAAAAGGCTGACCTGGTCCACCTCTAAGGAACTATAGATCCAACACTATAACATTTGGATTACTAAGACGGAGAAGCTTTTGCTTACATGAAATGTCCGAAGGAAGAGAAAATTCATCTGTAGTTTACGTGTTGAAGGATTGTGCATATGATTGTGGAAATTGCAGAAGTGGACCTGAGTTTATTGGAGATTGGAGGAGGAATTGAAGAAGATTTTCTATGAGAGGTGTTTACATAGATTGTTGGCAAACAGAACAGGCAAGACTTCTGAAAATTGGAGCAAGGAGATAAGTAGCCAGTGAAGAACTTTTACACACCAGTTGAACTTTGCACCACCGTTGTAGACCAGGAGGGAAATCTATCCATTTTTAGGAGGGACTTCAACCATAGAGTCGGAACTTTTTTGTTTTTAATATTTGGTGTAAGTTAATAACTGGTAATCTTAGCTGCCACATTCACCCATACTCCATACAAACATATTCATAGTTTGCATCTTTAATTAAATTTACATCAAATGTTCCACAGAAAGAAACTCCAAAATTTGTTCCAATGACAAATTCTCTCACAAAATAGACATCCTTATGTAGCATACATCCAAACTGTTCAATACAAAAAGAGGCAGAACTGAACTCACACGATGTAATTTGTCCTGTAGCCTAGCCTAACACTCCACTCCACACTGCTTAAGAATAGGTCCCTTTTGTTTGGGCAGGAAGGGATCAATTCTGACCCAGACCAAAGAGAAAATAGATGCAAGTAGAATAGACCATAATACCACAATGGTTGGTGTTCTATTCTGCCTTCCCATTAGCCCTTTCAGGAAAGGATACAAATGGACTATTACCCAGAATGCAAAGAAAAGCTTGCCAAACAATGGGCCCCATGATCCATACCCATTGTTGATGGCATCAGACACACCAGCGACAACGCCAACCATGTTGATGATGAGAAGAGTGGTGGGTGGGATAAGGAGTGTGGTCCATTTGAAGAGGTATAGATCTCCAAACTCATCTGCTTCATCGTTAGCAGATTTTGAGGTAACAGTGAAGTTGGTATCAACACCGGCTAGGACCTTGAGGAGACCTTGGAAAACAGCAAACAGATGTGCAGAAACCCCACCAATTACCCAGAACTGTTCATTGCGCCACCAGTCTTGGATACTCACGCCGCTCCATCTGAGCTCAAGAATGCCAGTAGCGATGATGGAGATGAAGAGTGCCATAAACCAAATGCTGGCTAGATTTGTCAGCTGCATGTAATGAGGCCCAGGAGCATGTAATTAGAAGTAAATTATCTGAGTAGATTATCTAGTACTAGAGGCAAAGATTTAGGTTGTTTGCAGCTTAAAGTTTCCTGTGTACTAATAGAAAACTGTTTATCTAGTATTCAATATTCAAAAACTTGGGGATTGTCACTAAATATCCAGATAGCAACACAAACCAGCTGTTTCTGGTTTATCTATGGTGTTTTTTTAGCAGTGATCCTGATCAAATGACCATATAGATATGTGAATGTGAGTGTTATTTTAAGCTCATTTTCACTTGGTTATTTTGCTTGTGTTAGTAAGTATATTGAGGTCAGGCTATTTCTACGAGATCAATGCATTAATCGAACTTTGGCTCTTAGTTTGAATTCTATAGTCGACCATATATATTGGTCAGCCACTGTTTGGGTTCTACCATATTTTCTTCATTATTGCCCTCCTTACTGTTAGGATATAAGAATATAACCATGAACCCTCATCATAACTTCAGAGTCTTGGTGTAATGGTTAGGGACTTTAAGACTTACAACTCAAGACAAACTAAACTGATAATTATTGCATACCGCAATCGCCCAGCTCTGAGCCTTGTGTTTGTAACAGTTTTCTGTGGACTATTTTTTGTTTATTTTTGAGCTGAAATTAAACAATTTTTTTGAACTTACTGTAGGAATGATGAATTTTCCGGTAAGAAGGCAGACGGCTGGGATAATGCAGTATGCGAGGAGAGGGATGGATGTGAAGGGGTAGACGATGGTGTTTGTGTATGCAAACCTCTCTAGCCACTTCAAGTTCCCACCATAACCATACCACAGTGGACAATGCCTGCTAAGAAAGATCTCCACCGATCCAAGTGCCCACCGAAGTACTTGATGCAACCGATCAGAAAGATTAATTGGAGCTGATCCCTTAAACGCTGCTCTGTTGGGAACACAGTAGACAGACTTCCATCCTCTGCAGTGCATCTTGAAGCCAGTCAAAATATCCTCCGTTACAGACCCATATATCCAACCAATCTGCAATGCACAAAATGACTTTTTTAAGGTGTGTTCATATTAATTTTCATAGAGAAATAGTTTAGCCGTTGTGGCATTTTAATCTAAAACACTGTACATTAGACCCTTAAATTAGTAGTATGCATCTTTCTTCTATTCAAGTTTGGGCATAGTCAAGCATGATTTATGTTCAATCAAAAGTCAAGTATGCCCATGACACTAATAACTAAATAATAAGATGCAATTGGTGCATGGTTTGTGGATGATCTAACAGCATAATTGATGTCAGTCATATGCTAGTGTGGTGTCAATGATGTTATGATACGATATAGCATAATGTTGAACAATGTTAAAGATACCAGTAATATAATATTTCTTCTACGAAGGTCTCATTGGCAGCTGCAATATTATTGCATCAAACTATTCAATACGCTGTCATCAAAGAACCAGTGGTCTAGTGGTAGAATAGTACCCTGCCACGGTACAGACCCGGGTTTAATTCCCGGCTGGTGCAAATCTTTTTTACTTTTAAACTTCTGCAATACACCAGTTTGAGTCCCTTTTGCTTTTATTTTAGTTGTCAATGTAGTATCTTTCTTCGCTTTATTTATTCTTCAGTCCTTTTTGTTTTTACTTTAGTTGTAAATACAGTATCTTTCTTTGCTTTATTTATTCTGCATTTAATTCTCAGGCGAAATCTTGTTTAAGTATCTTTGTTCTCTTAATTGCAAGGCACCGTTATATTTTTTTTCTTCCAATTGCTTTATCAGATTCTGCAATGTTCGCAAAAGTATGACACTGACAGTATGGGAGCCTTACCTCTTTCCCCCACTCGGTCTTCTCCTCATACCCACAGCTGATTACATGAATAGCCTCCTTAACGAGCCCTTGTGTGTTGGTACCTTGAGGCAGCCCACCTTCTTCCATGAGTGTTGACGTGATGAATACTGGAGACTGCCCAAATCTCTTCTCAAAGCTTTTCTGCGACATGAGAGATGACTTCTCCAGCTCCTCATAGCCCTCTAGTCCTTCCTCTATCTCCTCCAGATCGAGATCAAACCCTCTCTTCGTGTAGCTCTTCTTGTTAACCACCACGCTCTTTTTCTTCTTCTTTCCGAAAAATCCTTTAAGTCCTCTTTGTTCTCCATCTTCTTTCTTTGCCTTGGATTTCCTCGAGCCACCACAACAACAACAGCACCAAGATGGCCAGCAGTCACATGTCATCTTTGGGCGCTTTTGAGACTTAGGGGGATCATAACCGTAGAGTGCCTGGCGGTTGAACACACATCCGGTTCCAACGTACACTGGTCCTTGGATCCCATCCAGACCTTTCATATTAATCTACATAGACCACATGGATTTGGTCATTTATAATTTTGTAGTTGATCTAAGTTATATAATGTTTAGTTAACAGGTTCTTGAGTTTCATTAGCTTACATCGAAGAAGACCACATTACGATTGGCGTATCGATCATGGTGATCAATGCCATCGAATCTTTGTGGAAACTGGACATAGCATAGCTTCTTTCCAAGCTGAGGGTCCATCAGAAAACACATGGCTTCCCTGATGGCCTTGCTGTTATTGATGTAGTGATCACAATCCAGATTCAACATGAAGGGTGCATTGGTAAGCACTGCAGATACTCGAACCTGCACCCAATGGATCCAAAGGTAAAAGGTTAGCAACATGTGGACTATTTAGTACAACTTTGATAAGTAAATTTCATACTGTGAATGGCTCACCAATGCATTCATGGCCCCGGCTTTTTTGTGGTGGTTATACCCAGGTCTCTTCTCTCGAGAGACATACACCAGCTTTGGCAGCTCTTTGCCTTCAACATCAAGCGCACCTGCACTCCCCAAGTATACCTGTAAGATGTTTCAGATGTTTCAGAAGCCTTTATTGAGTAGTAAGTTTATTTCTTCTATTGAAATGATTGCTTAATCCATGTAAGCATATAGGCTAGTAAGAAACAGAAACAATGGAGGGCATTTTGAGGAAAATTAAATAGAAGCAGGGTATAATCTAGGCTTTCAATTTTCCAATATCAACTTCGAAGTTAGGATCAATTGGTTAATCCAGTTAATGTAACATAGACTAATTGCTATTGTGCACTCATCTATGTTAGGACTGCACAACCAATATGATTCAAATCTCTTCAATTTACTTCTCTCAATATTCCTTATTTTCTTTAACAAATATGAGATTGCTTCATCTTCATGGTGCATTTTTCATACCTGAATCATTCCTGGATGGTCACGAGTGTTGTTGCCAGGCCAAGGTGTGCCGTCCTGCATTATCCATCCTTCCTCTGGTTTCTTCTGAGCCTTTGCCACCAATGCATTGATTCTCACCTTAAATTCTTCATACTCTCTCTGCACCATTAACCATAGTAGTCAATTTCATGGACTCAATTTGGATTATGATCAATCATCAGAAGAAAAAAAAAACCTCACCTTCATGGCCCTCCTGTCCTTGACAAAGCTAGGCTGCACCTTATCCTTCAAATAATCGATCTTCTGAGAGAAATAGAACTCCGGAGCCCTCGGCTCAATGTTGTACTTCCTACAGAATGGCACCCATCTCCTTGCAAACTCAGCAGTCTCTGATAAAGTATCAAACAAAAGCATCGATGCACCATCATCTGACACATAGCAGCTAACTTTTCCCACAGGATATTCCACGGAAAGTATAGAGAGGACAGTGTTGGCAGTGATAATGGGGGGCTCCTTCAAAGGATCAACTGTACTCACAAACACATCAACTGGTGAAAGCTTGTTTGGCTCGCCGTCACGTTCAAACCTTGCAGAGAGACGATCGAGATAGGTTTCACGAGTGATGGGGAACCATTTTGGGAACTGGTCAAGGATCCAAGATAGGGCGAACCAAATCTCACATATGACTGAGGTGAGCCAAAGGGGATAGGCATCTTTGGCTGGAGTCATGATTCGGAACCGAAAGAAGAAGATGAGGATAACAAGCCTGAGGACTATGACGATGCGATATGGATTGATCTTGCTCGATGGGATCGGCACCTTTCGCCATAGGGGCTGGCGTGCCTCGGCCAAGCTGCAAAATTATTTTGGACGTAAGGTTTCTTTCGGATACATGGTTTATATATTTCATTCTTATGTCATCTTAGTGATTGTGTTCATAAATTCTTACAGTTCATAGTCCTCTTCTTGATCATCGTTCCCCTCATCATCTTTGTTGAGCAGTCCTTTTCTTTCCTGTCTTGCTTTCCATTTGTCCACTCTATCCTTCCATTCCAGATTGCTCTCCATCTCCCTCTCTCCTTCAAGATCCTTACCAGCAACTACAATAATTAAGAGCGCACATGAATTAAGTTAAGTAAAATGTTTATTTAAAGGAGAGGACTAAGGGATGACATAAAAATTAGACCACTAAGTTCAGGTTTAGCCTACCACTGCCAGTAAAAGGTGAGAAAGCAGGACCATGAGGCTTCCATTGTAGTGTTTGTTCACCATTTTCCTGTTTAAAAAAAAGGTTCTCATCCTTCAGTTGATGATGATATACAAGGGGAAGTAGGAATTCATAAACTAACAATAAACTAACTAGGTTTTTCATGAAATTACCGAGGTGAGGTCAACTTTCTGATGATCCAGTTCTGGCTTGGGATTCTTGATTTGGAACTCATCTTCAAAATCATCATTGTCATCTGCATCCTCCTGATCTCCCTCAACTCTGGTTTCTTCTGATTTCTACGATAATCTGCTTAACTTTGGGTATGTTATCTTTTAATCAGAATGTGCAGGTGTTATCAGGATATGTCAGTTTTTGAGCACCTATGGTTCTGTCAGCCATAAAAATGTTTTCTTAAAATGAGTAGGTATGAAGTAAAAGTTAATGCAGTTTTGTAATAGCTTGTGGCAGTTTGTTTTGTTTTGTTTTAAGGATGATAACATCGAGCATGCAGAGTTTCGAATTATATTACCGTATCAAAAAATTTCTTAAGATCACCAAGTACTTAATGAAGAGGAACGCTGTTTTCTGTTTGTCTTAAGACTGTGACAAACCTATGTATAACAATTGCCTACTTGGATCTTACGTACGCTGCGCTCTTGTAAGTCTTGAATGCATATACCTTTTATATATGTTTGTAACGTAGAAGATGATTGTGTGCAAACCTTTGTGACGCTTGTAACGAACATTACACTGAGGACAACACTGACTCCCCTCGCTCCTCTCATACTCATAACATGGCCTGCACACAGGAAAGCCGCATTCATGACACGCAACAAACACCTCCCCCTTCTCATTCACCTCGATATCATCACCACAAACCCTGCAGACTTTCACGATGTTCTCCTTTCCGTTGAGGCTTCTAACCTCTTCGTTTCCGTTCATAATGTGCAGCTCGTTCCTCCGATGAGATCCAGCAACCAGACCGGACTCCATGGAAGAAAGCAGAAGAGGAGTGAAGAGAGAATGAGTAAGGAATGAGAGGTTTTATGGTGAGAGAGGTTACGTCTACACCAACTGTGAGTTGGGGGGTCTCTGAGTTTGAGTTCTTGAGTCCAGTAGAAGTTAGGCGTTGATTTCCTTTGGGCAGGTGAGAGGCTGCCTTGCTTTGAAACCAAGTTCTTTTTTTTTTTCCTTTTTTTTCTGTGGGGAGCTAACATTTGTGACATTGTGTATTGCATCATAACTTGAAGCTGAAGGCCTGACCGAATTTTGTAACTTGCTACGGAGAGAAGCATGTGGCCAGTAAAAGAGATTTTGATTCATTCTATGAGATGGGTACGTGCTACCAAAAATTAGGGGGTGTGTCATTAGTTGAATCAAAAGATAATGAGGTATCAACTTGTTTTGATGTGGGAAAATGGTTAAAAAGAAGTTTTGGCTCTTCTTTGGTTGGCATGTGAATATAACCCCATGTTTTTATGCTGGTTTTCTTCTCCGTTTTTAAATAAAAATTTGAATAATATGCCAATTCTATCCCCTGTTAGGTATCATTGTAACACTACCAACGCGTGACGACAAGCTCCAGTCAAAATACAGGGGTTGTAATTCATAATGAGCACTGATGATGGGCTTTCCTCGGGTTTGCAACATCCTTTGGGAGAAAATTGCGTAAGAATAATTCATTTGTAACCAAAAAAATCATAAGAATGATCCTCTGCAGACGGTTCGGACAATTGAGAGGTTCCAATATGATTTTCATGGCCTTGAGTTCGATTCTGGGCTTAGTTATCAAAAATAATAAATAAATAAATAAATAAACTTGTTCAGGTTTCTAGATGATCAATGAGAAATGAATTATAAATTACTAAGAGTAAAATTTTGAGAAAGGCTATTGTTAATAGTATTTAATATCCAAATATTATCAACCAAAGTCTACAAAGTCTGAAATTGAGAATCCAAATTAATGGGTGTGATCTATTACACATGAACTACTTAGAAAAAAAAATCAAAGGTTTGACGTGTTTTGGATCATTTATTAAAGATAATTTCTGAAATGTTGATTTCTGCATATTTCATATGTAGTCATCCATCGGTTTGGGATTTTTTTTTTTTTTTTTTTGGCTTTCAGA